ACACACATGACACATGGGTGTGCGCGTGCGTGTGCGTGTCTGCTAAGGGATACGATCGGCTTTGATTATCACAATGATGATGATGATGATGATTATTATATATACATATATATATATATATATATATATATATATATATATATATATATATATATATATATATACAGGAAATTTATCACCTGGGATAAGAAACACATGATCAAGGCGGGAGCATATTTAGTTGTGCATCACACTCAGCGCCCTGCCAACGATGCAGTAAGCACACCCACGCGCCCTGTCGACGATGCAGTAACCAAACTCACGCGCCCTGCCGACGATGCAGTAAGCACACTCACGCGCCCTGCCGACGATGCAGTAAGCAAACTCCGCGCCCTGCCGACGATGCAGTAAGCACACTCATGCGCCCTGCCGACGATGCAGTAAGCACACTCACGTGCCCTGCCGACGATGCAGTAAGCACACTCACGCGCCCTGCCGACGATGCAGTCGGCATCCGGATCGTCCTCGGAGACTGCGCAGCGTGGCGCCGCCGCCGACGGGGCGGTGATGTCGCCCTGATTTTGACCTTTCACCGTCGCCAGCGTGAAGAGTACCGCGCAGAGGCGCCATCGGCTCATGTCTCAGTCTATGGAAAGGACGTAAGCTCTGCCAAGCATTCACTGAAGAACAGGGTCCTGTCAACTGCCGGCAAGACGAAATTCGTGTCAGCATGTTTTCGAAATTGTTACGTGGCTCAAACTGCATTAGCTGTATACCAGAAATTTGTTTCAAAGGAAGCGGATAAACTGATTTTCACCAATGCGGTCACCTCCACACTGCCCTCAGCCCCCGGAGTGGGCCAGGAACTGTGAATTACCTGCGGAACAGATATATTCGGGCAAGTTCTTTGACGACGCGCAGCGCCGCGCAATAAAACCGGCTAAGTGGCACGCTATGGGTACACTTACCGTTCGGTTCCGACTATGAGCGGGTGCCAGGTACAGTAGCCCTTCTGACCTCGCGGGCCGCCGACACGGAGCCCCGTCAGCAGCGTGTCTGCCGTCCGGCGGCGCGGCCGGTCCGGACCTGGCGTCCGCAGAAGGCGACTGGCGGCAGACGAGCACGCTGCGCGAGTGGAGCTGATCTGCGTCCGGCAGACCCGCGCACGAGCGTGCCAGGCGCGCGGGTCCACCGCTGCACAGGCCAGGGTCACGTCCGCGCGCCACCACAGGGAGTGACGGGGCGTGAGAGAGAGAGAGAGAGAGAGAGAGAGAGAGAGAGAGAGAGAGAGAGAGAGAGAGAGAGAGAGAGAGAGAGAGAGAGAGAGAGAGAGAGAGAGAGAGAGAAGAGAGAGAGAGAGAGAGAGAGAGAGAGAGAGAGAGAGAGAGAGAGAGAGAGAGAGAGGAGAGAGAGAGAGAGAGAGAGAGAGAGAGAGAGAGAGAGAGAGAGAGAGAGAGAGAGAGAGAGAGAGAGAGAGAGAGAGAGAGAGAGAGGGAAAAAGAGAGGGGGGGAGATAGAGATGGGAGAGAGAGGGAGACAGAGCGAGAGACAGAGTGCAGGCAGAAGGGTAAAATCGAGTAAACATTGAGTAAACTCTCAGACATTATGTCGGTGAAGACGGCGAAAGTTTAAAATTTATATTCAGAGACGTATTCTGGTTTCCCTTCATAGAAGGGGTGCCCAGAGGGTGCAACGGTGCATATTCCACTTACACTATTGGTAGGCACACCTAGATATTTTCCAGCGTCTTCCAACAAAACATTTTGACACAATGCATTCATTTGTAACAAAAATAGCCAGGGAGAAGGGAGTGAAGTGCATGAATTCCGCCAAGACGCCTGAAGTTACGAGACCCCGAACTCCAAGACGCCGAACTCCGGGCAAATCCCAGGAAAACCCGAATTCGCAGTCTCTTTCTGGGCCAATGTCCAGCACGCGAAGGCAGATGCGTGATAACGGGTAACGAATCCTACTCACACACAGTGGAGCCCAAATGGCTCGTGGCACGAAAGGCTGTGCGCATGCTGAAGGCGATGTCTCCTTTGAGGCCATATTTGGGGTGAAAAGCAAGCTCCGGTACAGCCCGTTGGTTGCTCCGACACAGACAGAAAATTTCCCTCCCCCCGCGTTCCTCAGTTTCACCGCATAGAGAACCCGTGGGATTTGATAAAGCAAAAAAGGCAGGGGGCTGGCGGGCACGCTTGGACAACCATTTCCAGGACAGTTCCATCCGTGTTACCGCTGATACCCGTGAAATCGTGGTCCCGTAACGTGGTCCCGTGAAATCGATCTGGAGGCGCCACACAAAATGGTGGTGGAAGTGTCTGCGCTGGTGCGCTTGGGTGGCCAACGCTGGGTCGATGCCCTGGGCCTGTGAACGCATCGCAGTGGCCGAGAGATATGGTTAATGCATTGTGATTTATATTTTTGTGCTGTGAAGTCATCGGCTGGTGTGGAAGATGTGCCTTTTTCCCAAAAAAGGGAATACACATCCGTTAGTATCAAGCAACTCACTGCCATCTACCGATATGCAAACGTTCAGTTAATGGATACATATGATATAGCAGAACAAAAAGCAATCGGGCCGCATGCAAGTTAAGCAGCCTAGGAATAACGATACGATCACTGAGCGACGTAGTAATGCTCCATGATGCGGTTGAGCCAAACTCGTTTTCAATGTGGGTTTCCCTGCATCTGTATCAGCACTGCACTATTGCGATCACTAACACGAGGTCCGCACGTAAGAGGGACGACGACATTGCACCTGTCGATGTAGGCACATCCATTACAAACCACCTGGCAGACATGACTTTATTGTCCCCGGTCACGCGGGAGCCGAATGCACACTTAGCAAAAAACTGATATAAAACCGATTCAGCTATGAAAACAATTGAGCTATAAAGCCGCAGATGTGGGAAAGGAATTTGCGGTAACGTCAACGCTGGAACACTCGAAATTTATTGGAAAATCCGCCTTGGCGTCTACTTCCGAATGACATTGCCTATTCCCACCATCCAAATGCTTCATATCCTGCAATATATGCTACTGTCGGTGCTAAGAGTAGGCTCCACATGGAAGAAGCCCCCTACTTTTGCGTCTTTCCCGCGGAAGCCGCGTTATAAGCACATGCTACAAGCCTCTAAGCCGCAGAGATCTGGCATCATTTCGCTGTCAGACACTGTCTCGACAATCCTGGATCATGATCTGTGCTCGGTGTGGTGAGGGCGCAGGCTGTCCACCCCACCACCTCAGATTGTGATCTGTGCTCGGTGAGGTGGGAGCGCAGTCCGTACCCCCCCCCCCCCCCCCCCCCCCGCCACCTCTCAGCTGACCCGCCGACGGACCGCCGGACGCCGTCC